AGGCGGGTATTGTTTTTGAGGTGAATCAATAAAAATTTGGACTTATATAATATTACAGAAGCCATAACGTGGAAAGTATTAGAGTTCTCAGTATGTTAGAAAGAACCTCAAAGCAGAAAATTATTTTATTTCCACTAGAAAACAGAAAATCTCAAACAATATGCTGCGCCATAGGCAAGTGTAAGTTATTTATATTATTTTATGTAAAGTTTTACTTGTAAAATTTATTAAAGGGGTTTATTCCTTACCTTTGGTGTCCATGGATGGTGGTTTTATTTCGCATTTATACTTTTATAATTTTTTACAATCTTAATAAAAACCTTTTTTGATATTCTTAGCCCTCCTTAATTAAAACAAGAAATAATCCAACACACTAATAAATATTGTAAAAAAATATTTGCTCCCTTAATCATTCATTTGCATATTGCTGAAAAGGATATTCTGACAATTAAAAGAATTTGTCTCTTACAAAGCTGTAGAGCACTTTGTTACCTTTGTTGATTTTATAGAATATGTTCATAATTAAACATAGTGGTAATTTGGCTGGAATAGATAAAACTTAACAGTTGAATATCAAATTAAAGACAGAAGTTTACTATATTTAATAAGATATGCATTAAACAGAAAGCATAATGTTAATAATTAAAAGAAGTTAATAAACTTATGCTATTTAGATGATTTTTTTCTTCATCATATTCTTTAATTTTAATTTATGTTTTGCTATTTTTAAAAGCTATTTAATATACTAATCAAAGTTTCAAAATACTAATGAATGTGAATTTTTTAAAAAAACTACAAAATTTTAGTCAAGCTGCATGAATAAAAGCTGGTTATAGTTTTCAAATACGCTTTTTGAAGCATTTTGTTAAAGGATAAAAGAACAATATTTTAAATATAAAGATTTAATTTTATTAATTATAACAAGTTTTTTTAAATTCTAATCATTTTAAAGTAGAACGAGGCGCCGTAGAACTTTATTTCTGAAAAAAGTGGCTTGGTTTATATGGAAGAATCAAAAAATTACCCCACAAAAATCGAAGTTTTAAAAAATAGAATACATAAAATAAATCAAAAATAATTATCAATATTGTTAAAAG